ACCGTTTTGAGACTAATCAGAATGCGTCATGTCAGTGATATCGAGCCACAGTATCAAGCAGTACCGAGTCGAGTATCGAGCAGGGGGCGACATTGCGTATTCTGGTTGGTCTCCTAACAATGATCAGTCTCCGCACAGAATAATTTGCCCTTTCTCTTCTCTATATATATATACATATTCCTATTTACACTATCTATTTGTTCTCTTCCCTCATAGCTTTTGGAAAAAAATGCGCTATAATGATTTTCTTACTATTAGTTTAGGTATTTTTTAGTAATTTTTTTTACTAAAAAGTTATTTTAAAAAATAGTTAAAAAGTTGTCCTGAATAAAGCCTATAATTTATTCAAATTAGACTTTATTGTTATTTGTTGGATTTATGCTGAGATTAATATAAACAGTAATATGCAAAAATTATATTAATCTCATATAGATCTAAGTGTATCCCATACCGATTGGATTTCGATAAAAAATTTTCCATATAATTCCTTTTTGTCTCTTTTTTGTTATGCGAGGAGGAATATGCTTTATTCATATACGTTTCCTTAGCAGAGCAGGGCTCTATCCACTTATGCTTGATTTGGGACGGCTTTTTTACTGCTTCTTAAAACAACGTCCTAGCAGAAATTTTTTAATTTTTTAACTAAAAAGCTGCTTTAAGCGGCAGTAAAAAAACAGCCCCAAACGAAGCCTTAATCATAGCCTCTCTTCTTCTTTTTTCATCCAATAATTAAGTCAAATGCATTTTAAATTTTATTCTTAAATTACATAAATAATATATAATGTTAATCCACCATATCTTCTCATATTAGTAAATTTTATTTTTAGATATGTAATTTTTTATTGTGGACTTAAAAAAAGTTGTGGGACAGCTTTCTTAAACAGCTTTATAATTAAAAAAAAATTCTTGAATTAGAAAATTTTGTACTAAAAAGTCGTTTTATAAAGCAGTAAGAAAATTATCCCAAACAAAACCTTAATCTCTACCTTAATTGCTATAGCTAGAATTAATCGCTCCGAAATCCTTCATTTTTGGTAGTCGATAATACATAAAAATTTGTGATTAGAGATAAATAAAAAAGTCGTCCAGGATGAGTTTCTAGTGCTTCTTAAATCTTATCTTCGTTAATAATTATGGTTTATTAATGATTAATAACTTTGATTATTCACGCTAAAAACTAATTAGCATTAATACATCTGATAAAATCTTTACCATACAGTACAACATATGAACTTTATTAAAATAATTTAATCTAATCCATATGATTGTTTATATGTATGGGAGGATCACAATTAATGTACGTGTAAGAAGATTGTATTGTGGACCACCACTTTTATAGTTTTATTTATAGCTTAGCATAAAAAGGTCTTTGTTGAAGTTTGAAGAATATTCTTAATACCGTCTTTATTTATATAACCGTTACTTCATTTGTTCTAATTTTTTATACATTAATATAGGCTTCTTTTTGTGACGGCTTTCTTGCTGTTTTTTAAAGCAGCTTTTTAGTATCAAAAATTTAATTTTTATAATAGAAAGCTACTTTAAGAAACAATAATTAGTAAGTCATCCCAAAAGAAGCAATAGTCTGATGTTTAAAATATATTAATTTAGACTTCGTTTGTGATGACTTTCTTATTGCTTCTTAAAGTAATTTTGTAATACAAATAATGTAATTTTTATAATATAAAATTGCTTTAAGAAACAATACGAATACCGTCATGCACAAACGAAGCCTTAAAAGTTTTTAAAAAGTCTTAAAAGTCTCAAAAACATTAGATGTGTTTGAGACGGTTGTATCATTTTATAAAGTTGGTTGAAAATTTATTATAGAAAAAAAATATATATATTTTTTAAATTGTTGTAGATATTAAAAATATATATTATTTAAATCAACGAGCTGATTTACTAAAGCTAACATATAATAATAACTCTGATTGTAAAACACAGCTTTCCTTTATAGATATTTTTGAAAAACAGTGAGAAAATAGCAAAAACTCAATAATCAAACAAAATTATGATTAGGATGAGAAAATCACAATAGTGATCAAACTATCTCAAACAAAATCTTAAACTTATCAAAATCAATAGAATTTAAATATATTTTTCTATATATATCATAATAGTGCTCGATTTCAAAGTGCATCGGTTGAAAAAGATTTTTGAAAATCCCAACTTTATTTAGCCGAAAAATTCTCTTAGGCTTCATTTGTGACAACTTTTTTGCAGTTTTCTAAACCAAATTCTTAGCGCAAAAAAATTTTGAATTGAAAATTTTTATACCACAAAACCGTTTTAGAAAATAGCAAGAAGTTATCCCAAACAAAACCTTAATATATATCTCATAACTATGTTATAAAATATGGGATGTTAGTCTATATATCTATCGTCTCTCTTACGTTACAGTTCTCTTAATATTAACCTGCTAATAAGTACTATGTTTTTATTGCGTGAAGTTTTGATCAAAGTAATATATGAGGTGAATGATATGCATATAAGCCAACGCAGAATAACGGTGTTATCTATATGCAGATTCATAAGAGATAAAATCGTTATATATTTGCTTTTTATTTCTGTGTCAGTTTGTCCGGCACCTTATTTCTGACAAAATGTAAAGTACTCACAGAGCACCCACCGCGGCTTAGCTCGGTTGGTGGGCGTGCTTGATTAGGATCCCCCTCTCGAGTTCGATTCCTACGAGCAGTTGTTGCCCTTAAGTGGGGCCCCAAAGTACCGGCTGCGGGTACTGTAGGCGTGGGTGGCCCGATAGGTTGGTTAGAGTTTACGGATCGCCAAGCGCTCTCAACAATGCCCGAGCGTGAAGGTGAACGATTCCTCGTCATCAAAAAAAAAAAAAGTACTCACAGAGCAATTCCTTTGAGATTGAGGGGCTGTTTGGTTGGCGCTCAAGCCCCTGAACAAATAGCCAAACACAACGCTCTTAAGGCAAATAGTTCTGAGTCAGATTTATCTCAACTTAAGGCTTAAGGGATCTAAGAGATCAGTTAGATGATACGCTTCTTTTTAGACAGTTTTTTCACTTCTTTCTTAAATCAGATTTTAGTTAAAAATTAAGTTTTTATACTAAAAAACTGCTTTAAGAAGCAGTAAGAAAGTCGTCCAAAATAAAGACTAAGCTCGAACAATTAAGTGTTTATATCACATGACAATTGAATAAATTAATATAACTAATTAATTTAATTTAAATTTCATTAAATTTAACTTTTCATGTGCTTGTTGTATTAGATTAAGCTTATTTTATTTACGTATGTAATTCTTAATTAAAATAAATGTAAAATTTTGAAATGAGCTTAAGACAATTATTATAACTAAATCATATTTTTAGCTAATGCCAACTAGATTATGGAAGTTTTTTTTTTTCTTTTTATTTATTTGAAATTATCTGTTTTATCATTAGTAAAAAACTTAGCTAGCTTGCGTGCAATAGTTTTTTTTTTTTTTTGAACTGAATGAAATGTTTTCACAAAGCAAATAAGTTTTATTGATTTAAAATAAAACTATGGCTCATACATAGATCCCAAATAGAAAGTTCTTAACAAATATAGGTAGCTTATGTATATGTGAAATAAAATAAAAATCCACTCGTTGAAAGCTTAATAAATAAATAAATAAATAAAAACTAAGGAAATGAAGCCTTGGATGAAGGGTTGCCACCATTAACAAGGCAACAATTCTTAGTGATATAACAAATGAAAAGAAAAAAAATGAAATAGGCTTGTGGTAGCAAAATGAAATAGGCCTTGATGGAAAGATATAAATACTTAATTTTTTTAAAAAAACTTTTCGTAATATATACATATATAATATTATTTTTTTAATATATAATTTTTTTTAATATTTAATTATTTTTATGTTGTATTTGCCCCCCTCCCCCCCTCAAAATTAAAGCTGGTTCCGCCCCTGTTCAGATGACTAAGAATTTGTTGACTAATTGTGTAAGAACTAGCAAATCCTTGAAATATGATTTATAGTTTCTATAGTAAATCATATAACCAATTTGTATTCAATTGAAGTTATCATAGTTGAATAAACTATGAGATATAGATCTATTGAATGTTGGGATTTTGACATAAGACTTTCTTTTAGCCTTCAACCCTACTCATTGGGAATGAATTCTTAGAAGTCTCAATTTATCCTTCATCCTTATTTGACTTTCTTCTTGTACCCATGTTTTCAAAATCAAACTTTTCAACCACCCTCAATCCAGAGTAGAATCAAATGAAACATAACCTCTAGTGGTTTGATGAAGTAAATGAATTAGAATGGGTTCCAAGTCATTGATGATTAAGGCTTGGACAAAGTATATATTATCATATTGAGGTCAAATCAACATGAATTGAATAGGTACATGAAGAGTTTCATGAACTCAGTTTCCTGAACTTCAGAGATTTCAGGAGTTTGACTGGGAAGAACAATCTCAATAGTACCATACCAACATTCTCCAAGATCCATGTTCCTTTCTAGGAAAAAAATTTGGTCCATCCATGGCATCATCAATATGGTAAATGTCTTATGGTGTGGTTGCCAAGTCCTTATGAGTTTTCTCAAAATCATGTTGAAGAGAGATACCATCATTCTTTCCATTATCTAAATGCTGCGGAAGAGAGTTAGTACTTGATTCAGCAGGGTTGCTTAATGCATGCAGCCGAGAAGAAATATGAATATGAATAAGAATACGATCTTGTTAAACCAAAGGATTTAGCATCGCTAGAGGTTTGAGCTCATTACCACAAAGCTTAATTAGCTTATCACAAATTAGTTTAATCCCAAATCAGGCATTCGATTAAGGTTTCGTTTGGGTCGGCTTTTTTATTGATTCTAAAAACAGCTTTGTAGTACATAAATTTTAATTTTTTAACCCAAAAGATGCTTTAGGAAGCAGTAAGAAAGCCATCCCAAACGAAACCTACTTTAAGTTCAAATCAATCATTTGATTTATTGAAGCCCCAACCAAATATGCCAATAATTTGTCTCCAAAAGTATGAAAAACTATATATAATATGATATTATATAGTTAAACATAGAATATCAATATATATTAAATTACCTCTCATACTTAATTTGATAAACACTTAATAAAATCACTCATCATCATCTCAGTAATTAATTAACAATACATACACCATCTCATTCATCACGCATTATGCAAAAATTTACTAGTACCTCACTGGTTCCCGCCATCCTTCCTGCCACTTTGATCATCCTTCGGCAAAGAACTAGAACAATAATCTGAGCTTCCAAAATTCAACATCACTTCAGGCCTTACAGAATTTGTCATTGACGATCCTGTAAATGAAATGCTTGACGATGATGCCTCCATCATTGAAGAAGATTCAGACATAAAGGATTCTCCACCATAAAGCCCAAAAGCCACATTGTGAAGGTTGTCATCTCCACTCTGCAGAAGCTGAGCATACTGTAGTAAATCTGGATATACAGATGCCTGCATTGTGGTTAATTGCTTCGACCGCCTCGTTGGGATCTCTCGGCTTACCACGAACCCGAGTTCCGTCCGGCCTTGAACTCGCTCAGGGAAGTTGAGCTTAGCTTTAGTGCCCTTGAACTGGAGAGCTGCCTCGTCGTAGGCGATTGCCGCCCCCTCCGCCGTGTCATAAGTCCCAAGCCAGACCCTCGCCGCCTTCTTTGGGTCTCTAATTTCTGCTGCCCATTTTCCCCATGGCCTTTGTCTTACTCCTCTATACTGCCTTCTTCTCTCGGTCTCTACATTCATAAGTTAACATTCATGAATCATTTACTCAAACAAAGATTAAAACACACACGCACCATGCATGTTATGTAGAGCAATGCTTCTATCATCCACAAAGTCAACAAATTCTTAAACGTGCTTTCTTATATGATAGGAGAGATGAACAACTAAGATTTTGTTTGGGACGATTTTTTTATTGTTTCTTAAAACAACTTTTTAGTTTAAAATTTAAAATTTTTATATAAAAACATTCTTATGAGATAAAACACATTGCTTGCGGTAAATATATTTTGACTTAGTAGCTAAATTGCAATTTCTTTAAGAGCTTGGTGTAGGAGGATGAGTGGATAAAGATAAAATTTTAAGAAAATTAAGAAGAGGTCAGTATATTATTCAGTGAATTTATGTCAGTTTTTAATGATATATCATACAAAAGGTCACAAGATTGTGATGATTTTTGTAGGCGCTACTTGATTCTGTTAAGAATTAGAAAACATTGGGACATAGTAGAACGAGACAAAATCATCAAATCTATCATCATTTTAGTAGATTTCATAAGATCCATAAATGGAAAAATGAAACTATGCAACGTGACAAAAAACAGCTAGATTTCATCCGTCTGACTAATCATACTGGTTCACCTAATCTTAGTATTCCATCAGTTCACCTAACACCAGCTATAGAGCACAACTTAAACATTGCAAGAAATAGTCCAAGAATTCATTGAAAAATTCATCAGGATAAGACTATTATAATATTAGGGTTTCAACTTTCCAGAAGAAGCAACCAAAGCAAGGTTTTTTATGTAGCAGTAACAAGAAGTAGAACAAGTATGAAGGATTTCTACCTTGTTCTTCAGCAATTTGACTGGGATCTCTCACCATCGACTCAACACTAGTTGCTGCTGCCGCTGCCCTCAGCGGCGGCGAAGTTGTTGCCTGGCTTTGAGCTTCGCCAGCAGAAGATCCGCCGGCGATCACGTGAGCTAGGGCAGAGACCATGGCTGAGGTGTCGTAGTCGGCACGTGAGGAAGTGTAGTGAGAAAACATGTGTTCGGCTTCTTTCTCCTTTTCTTCCTTGACCGTAGCAGAAAGAGGCCTCTTCCCATGCCTTCGATCCACTTTGGTTATCTTCTCACAAACACTCGCTGTTTTGCCACCGCCTGTCACCGGTTTCCGTCCATCTCTGCAGGAGTCAAGAGAGAAGGAGAGAAAGGGAAGGGTGGAAAATGCCCCGACGTGGGCTTCCCTTTTATGGTCCATAGATTGGCTCTCCCTTGGACTTATCCGTGCTTTGCATTTATTTTCCTTATTTATTGATGTTTTTGGACTTTATAAACGAGCGATTGGTCATTTAAAATAAGAGAGAGCTAGCTTACAGTCGGTTAACGTGACCCTATAGGCTTTTTTTTTTTTTGGGAGACTGATTATAATTTGGCAGTATGCTTTGATGCTAATTTGGTTCTATTTTATATTATGGCTTTTTGGGTTAGTATTTTAGTTGCTTCTTTTTTGTCCCAACACATTCATCCCCCTTAGAATGGCATGTGACGCTTATTTGGGGGAGGTTGGGGCCCCTGCGATTGGTGTAGTGCCATTATCAAAATAGATTGCACTGAAAAGTGCTTCTAATTTTGGTTTATTTACAACCATAATAAACTATGTATTATCCTTTTTTTTTTCCTAAATAATTCATCATATCTAAAAGTTCTCTTTTGAGTAGATCTAAAATCAAAGTTTTAAAAATCAAATCGGACCGGCCGGTTAAACTATGAATTGGTTAGCCAATTTGTTCAATCAGTTAAATTGTGAATCGTTCAGCCTGCCGGTTCCGTCTTTTGTATAACCTTGCTTAATTGCTTAAAACCGGAAGAGGGCCCATGGAACCGGTGGTCGAACTGCCTGACTGTCGAATCGGCTCCTGCTTTTCAAAACTAGTCTCTTGTAACAAAAGCTCTTTCTTCCCCAATTTGACTTCTTTCTTATCATATCTCCTACTCAATTTCTTGATCCAAACATGAATAGTAAAGGGATTTCTTCTTCTTATCAAACCTTAAACCTAGAGCATTACTTTCATAGCAAGTTGGAATTCATTTAGTTTAATCTACGTAAAAAACAAACAAGTATGTCTTCTTTTACCCCTTTCAGATCTAGTCTCGTGGATGCTTCTTCTACCATCGCTCCAATTTAATTTGTTTTGTTATGTAGGTTGCATCATTCGAATGTTGAATCTGAACCATCAACCGAATCCCGATGCGCCACAAGCGGGGACATTTGAGGAATGATTGATAATTTGATGAATGATGAGAATATTGTTGGAAAGTCAACTAACATGTGTGAAAATTTCTTGAATTTAGTCATGCATGATGCTCAAGAAGTAGCTCAATGCACTCAAGGTGTTTATACAAATGCCTGCTTATTTTTTCTCAAATTTGATTGTCATATTATTATCGGTCTAAATTCTTAGATTGTTATATTATTATGATAATTTTATTAACTTTTAATATTATTATTATTTATTACATCATCTGCTTCGACTCTGGTCAAACCGTGAACCTCTCTTTCTTCCAGTTCGATGTCCGATCCGATTTTCACAACCTTGTCTAAAACTGAATACATGGAGTAAAAATTTAGTAATAATAAATCTATTGATGGGATTGCATCATTGGGTGATCAATTCATTAAAAAAGAGTGCACATTTTATTGTGTCATTCCACGTACTCACATTATACAAGTCAGTCAATATAATGAAATTATATTATAAACATAATAAAAAAATCATACATGAATGATAATAACAAATTTGTAAGTTTTCAAACTATTTTCTAATTCATCCCTTGCTTCTTTCATCTTCTAGTTATCTTCCTCTTGATTAGCTTAAATTGTTGCAACTCAATGTTGACTTAATCATTATTGAACTATAACATCTACTAGAACTTCTTGGAGAACGATAATGAATTAGGAATGTTATTAATGAGCACATCTTAACCCTTCTAGAATATCTGTTGCATGTATATATGCCTCCTAAGTGCTATCTAAACTCTCACTCGTATAAATTTTACAACAATGTTCCCAAATTCAGATACAAATAGCTTAGCCTCTTTGACTAAAATGGCAGTGATATTTTCAAAAAAGTTTACATTAAAGTTTTCACTAAGTATGCTTTTGATATCATTTTGAAAATTAATTTCCTTAAGATTAGAGAGACAAGTGGTTACCTTAAGATTAGCATATAAGTCCCTTGGTCCATAATTTTCATTGTCGCCTTTGTTGGCTCAATTGTTATCATTCCTAGAGGAAATCTTGATAAAAACACAAATATATATATATATATATCGGTAATAAGTGAATTTATTACCGGAGGCGTAAGCCGCCAGAAAGCTGACGGTAAAAGCCCTAAAATGAACTAGCCCGAGCCTCCCATTTCATTTCTCTTCTTCCCTTCTCTCTCTTCGGTCGAGCTCCCCCGTCGCCTCCGCCCGCCTCTCGCGCGATCGAGCAGCTTGACAACCGTCGACGACCTATCTCCGGCCACCGACCCCACACCGGCCGCCCTCGAACTCTCCTTGCAAGGCCACCGTCGAACTCCCACGAACACACCGCCGACGAACACATCGTGCTCCTTGATCTTTTTTTATATGCTTTTTTGGTGATTTTATGTTCTCACTAGACATTTGCAAGAGGTTGTACTCTAGTGTATGCTTTTTGGTGATTATATTCTTCTTGTTGATAAGACTAGAGAGGGAGTTGAAGGTAAACTTGAATTATAGAGGTCAACCTTAGATTCTAAAATATTTCATTTGAGTAGATCTAAAATTGAATATATTAAGTGCATGTAATTTTAGTAATAATAGATCTAGTGGGTGGATTGTGACTTTGGGTGATCAAGTCATTAATTAGAGTATTAATAATAGATCTAGTGGAAGATATGATTAGAAAGAGTCACCTTAGATGATTTGGTCACATAAAATAATGGCCTTTCGATGACCCGATTAGGAGAGTAGATGTATTATATTCAACCTTTGTTAAGAAAGGTAGAGATAGACTTAAAAAAAATTGGTTATAAAATATTAGAAATGACATTAGGAAAGTTGAGGTATTAGATTTTGCTTATGTTAAGAAAGGTAGAGGTAGACATTAAAAGACTTGGTTAGAAAATATTAGAAATGATCTTTCTTTATTAGATTTAGATGATAATTTAACTTTTAACATGACACAATGTGGTTATACCAAGTACTTTCCTTATTCGGTTGAATTACATCAAGGACTAGCCGTAAGTCCATATATTTTTTGCTTTAGTCATGGATGTTCTCACTATACATTTGCAAGAGGATGTACCAAGTACTTTACTTAGACTTGAATTATATGGAGTGTAATTTTAATGGAAATAGACATAGTGAGGAGATTGTGACTTTGGGTGATCAAGTCATTAATAAGATACATGTTTTAGATATCTTGGATCCTTTTGTTCAGAGTGATGGTGAAATAGAAGGGGGATATTATCAGCACAATTCAAGTTTGATGGTTGAAATGGAGGAATGAATCAGGTTTTGGATTTGGTGTAAAAAAATTCCAAACATTTAAGTCAAATATGATCGAAATGTTTGAAAATTTAATAAAAGAGCATAGGGACATCAAATTGCCAAATGAACTTTAAGAGATGTAAAGAACATCCTCTAGCTCACCATATCCAAATTTGTGCATGTCCAAGTTGATTGATAGTCCAAGTTTTATCTATTTTGAGTTATTTAATTAAACATCTAACAATGACTGTTGACTCAACCTAGTACATCCAAACAGAAGTGCACAACGGGTCCATTTGTGAGGCAGCGATCATACCTTGTGTGATAGAATAGTCTCCCTTTAACTTTAGTAAAAATTCTATAAGATAGTGGCGAGATCTGCAATGCTTTATGGTGCCAAATCGTAGTTAATAAATTAAAGAGAATGATGAATGGCTTGGCCCTTAGAGATAGGATACGAAGTGAGCATATACGTGATAAGGTTGGAGTAGGTCCAATGGAAGATAAGATTAGAGAGAGTTGCTTTACATGGTTTATTGACATTAAACGGAGGCTTCTGATGACCCGGTAAGGAAAGTTGAGATATTAGATTTGACTTATGTTAATAAAGGTAGAGTTAGACAATGTATTCCTATTCAAGTTTAGTATACTTGTTTTAAAGTATAGCACGTACACTTATTAAGGTTTACACATGTGTTTTAATAAATATTTTCATAACTATGTAGGGGGGCATTTTCTTTAACGTCTAAATGACTATCCAAGAAGAGAGATATTGGATGTATAACAGATTGTTGCCAGATTAAAAAGAATTGACAGTTGAATTTATGCAGGGAGTTGAAACTTTCATTCAAGTTGCATCTCAACTGTCTTCCTTTCAATTTGATAAAATGTTTAGATGTCCATGTTCGAAGCATAAAAATCAAGCATTCCTCAAGCCCGATGATGTGAAGCTTGATTTCTTCCAAACTACTGGATTTGGACATCACATGATGATTACGAGCTACACAGAGATGTTCATGCCGGTTCATCAACACTTATAAAACATTTGATGAAGATCAAATGAGTAGACCCTATGAAAAACTTATTTTTGATGTAGTAGGTCCTAATTTAAAAGCTAGTGTGGAAGAGCCACCAAATGCAGAAACCTAAAATTTTTTTGAATTATTACATGCAGCTCAAAAACTAATTTGGGATGATTGTAGTACACATTCAGAATTATCCATTGCAGTGATGATGCTAAGTATTAAAACTGAGTATAATATTCTCCGTGATTATTTCAATGACTTTATTAATCTTCTAAAGGAAACTAATCCAGCGGAAAATTTAATTCCCTCAAACTTATACCGAACAAAAAAAAGGATCCAAGCTGGGTTTCACTGCTATAAAAATTGATTGTTGTATCAATGGATGTATGTTATACTACAAGAATGATGTAGCAGAAGTTTATTGTCGCATATGCAATGCTCATCGGTTTAAGCCAAACTCGAAAAAATAACGTTGTCAAAAGAAAGATGTTTCATATTCTCGTTTATTTTATTTATCAATTATTCCAAAACTTCAGTGACTCTATGCACCAATGAATTCAGCAGGTCATATGAGATGGCATAAGGAGAAAATAATAAAAAGTGGTGTTCTTTCTCATCCATCAGATGCTGAAGCGTGAAAATATTTTGATCGAGTGCATGCTTTATTTACTGTTGAACCTAACAACATAAGATTAGGATTATGTACCGATGGTTTTACCCCCTATAGTCAAACAACTACATCGTACTCTTGTTGGCCAGTTATATTAACACCATATAACCTTCTACTAGAGATGTGTATGACTACTCCGTACATATTCTTAACTCTTATAATAAATGGACCACATAATCTGAAAGCAATAATTGATATTTTTTTACAACCATTAATT